TCACACCAGGGAGGGTGATTTTGGAGTAGAGTGTAGGTTACTCAAAGGAGTATTGTGAACTCATGACTTAAAGGGCACAAGATGTGATGAAGATGGAGGATAAAGGAACACCAATCTCTGGGATAAAGACCAAGTTTGTAATATTATTTTTTGTTGTTGTTTTTAATTTTAGTAAGGAAAATTGAAAGTATCTCCATAAACATCCAACAACTGGAAAATTTTAAAATTTAGATTAGATGCAAATGGAAATCTCTGGGTATAGTACAAGACCTAATAAAAAAAAACCTTTGAAGTCTGATGCTGTTATGGACTGAATGTTGGTGTCCTTCAAAATTTATTTGTTGAAGCCCATGTGGAGCTGGGGCCTTTGGATGTGATAGTTTTCTATGAATGGGAGAGGGTGGGGGTCACTATGATGGGATTAATGGCCTTCTAAGAAGAGGAAGAGACATTCCAGCCTCCTTTCTCCATCACTTGAAGACACAATGAGAAGTCTGCCACCTGCAAGCCAGGAAAAGGGCCTCCACCAACAATCGAATCTGCTGGCACCTTATCTGGGACTCCCAACCTCCAGAACTGTGAGGAAATGTCACTTAAGCCAGTTCAGTTCAGCTCCCATCAGCATTTCTCACTTCTGTGTGGAACATGCATGCAGGCAAGGCTTCCTTTAAGAGGCAGGGGCCTCCAAGCTCCCACTGGCTCCTGGAGCATGTGAGCTGGTGGGTCTATGCTGCAGGCCTGGACTTTTATGTTTGGGGAAATGGTGTAGAGGAAGGACTAGAAAGCCTTCTATTGAATATTTCATCCTTAGAGTTTTCTTCTATGTAGAGAGTCCTAGCAGAGCAACCCAGAGGGATGTTAGTCTTTCCATCAGATCACCATCTGAAAACATCAGGCCTTTTGTTTCTTCTCTTTTTGCATGCACTTGGGCATCTCTGTTCCAATCTCTTTGTTGTCCTTTGCTCAGCAGTTCACACTGCTCTGGGCTGTTCCCCTGTTGTATGTACTCATTGTGCCTAAACCCAGCTTAGACTCATTTTCACTTTTGTTTTATTTATTTATTTTTTAAGTTTATTGATTAAGGTATTATATGTAATCTTCTGTGTGATTGTTTCATCTTTGTTTTCAAAGTCTCCTAATAAAATAAGAACTATGCTTACTGTTGGGGCCATTAAAAGGCAAAAGTGGTGTTTTGTTGTAGAGAATGTAAAAGATTCTACCAGAGGTTTCAGACCTTTTGCTGTGAACCCATAAAAAATTTTTTAATAGTTACAGAATCAAAGGAAGTTTCACAGATAGAACAGAGAGGTGCTGTGTACTCTTAGCCAGCTTCGCCCAATGATTACATTTTATGTAACAGAAGTTAAATGTCAAGACCACCTGGTTCACAATGGTACAATGTATATATATATTTTTTCTTTTTTATCACATGTGTACATTTCTATAATGATCACCACAATCAGAATGTTGAACTAACACATTAATACAAATATTTTCCTAGTGCTACGCCTTTACAGTCACATGCTTCCTTGCTATCCCTAACCTGACAAGCACAATTTGTTCTCCATACCAATACTTTGGTCATTTCCAAAATGTTATATAATAGTATGTAATCTTTTGAGACTGAAGTCAGCCCAATGCCCTTGAGATATATTCATGCAATAGCTTCATGTAGCAATTTCTCTCTCTCTCTCTCTCTCTCTCTCTCTCTCTCTCTCTCTCTCTCTCTCTCTCTCTTTCTCAGTAGTATTCCATGCTATTGATATATCACAACTTGTTGAACCATCCACATACTATAGCACATCTTGGTTGTTTTCAGTTGCTTTCCGCTGTTGCTCATGACATTTTTATAAACAATAATGTACAGTTGGTTTTTCTGTGTGGACATAAGTCTTCATTTCTCAGGATAAATGCATAGAAGTACAACTTATGGGCCATATGTAAATATAGGCTTAGTTTTTGAAGAAACTGCCAAACTGTATTCCAGAGTGATTGTTCCATTGTACATTCCCATCAGCAACATATGAGTGATGTAGTTATCCCATATCCTTTCCAGCATTTGAGCATACCCTTTTTTTAAGGAAAAGAAAAAAAACCTCCTCTGCCCAAAACGGTTAATTGAAACAGGTTCTTGCAAAGTTATTTTGATGAATTTACTCATCATGTGAATCTTGGGGATTTAGGCAGTGTAATATAAAAGCACTGTTTATGCTTTTTTTTTTTTTTTTTGAAAGTCCTATATAATAAAGAGGTAATATGCAAATTGACCATCACACCCTTACAAGATGGCTGCCTATGACCTGGCTGGCAGAGGGTTTGGTGAGAGATGACCAAATGACTGAACAGCAGGCTGTGTGGGACCACCAGACTGGCAAGGGGCAATTGGGGGTGACCAGGCCAAAGGGGTCCAGTTGGGGCCAAATAGGCCGGCAGGGGTACAGTTAGGAATGACCAAGTATGCAGAGGGGAGCAGTTGGGGGTGACCAGGCCAGCAGTGGGTTGGTGAGGGGTGAACAAACGACTGAAAAGCAGGCTGTTTGGGATGAACAGGCCACCAGCAGTGGGGGCTGTGAGAGATGACCAAGCTGGAAGGGAGGGCAGTTGGGAATAATTAGGTCAGCAGTGGGTCCAGTTGGGGGCGACCAGTTCAGCAGGGTGGGAAGTTAGAAGTGACCAGGCTGGCACACAGAGGCAGTGAGGAGTGATCAGGCTGGCAGGGTGGAGAGGTGGGTGGGTGTGGAAGGACAGTAGGGGTGACCAGGCAGGCAGCTAAGTTATTAGGAGTCAGTAGTCCATGATTGTGAGAGGGCTGTCCAACTGCTGGTCTAGGCTAAACCAGCAGTCAGGCATCCCCCAAGGAGTCCCGGATTGGAGATGGTGCAGGCTGGGCAGAGGGGAACCTCCCTGTGCACGAATTTTGTTTACTGGGACTCTAGTATAGACATAAATTAAAACTAGAAATTGCTTAATAGAAAATTCTACCTAGTGGAATGTGGGTTAATGTTGACCAATCTTTGTTCCCTTCAGGGTAGAACAAGGACTAAATATATGAAAATATTCTCATAGAGATATAGTTTTATATCTCTCTGGTGCCTGTGTAGACTATAGTACAATGGACATAACATAGAACTTAAATTTAGAAAGCTTTTTTCTGTACTTCATCATTTTGTAATTTAAGAATACATAGGTAAGAAATTCAACCTTTCTGGCCCTTGTTTTTTTCTATAAAATGGGGATACTATCTTCATCACAAGATTGTTTATGATGTAAATATGTTTATCTCCCTCTTACTTTAAAAAGATTTATTGAGTGTTTACTATATAAAAGGCATTGTACTAGGCTTTTTGGATTTAGTGATGATTAAGATAGAATCCCTGATTTCATTGTAATGATAACAGTATAAATAAGAAGAGTAAAATGACAGAACATATATTTGAGTGCATGCCAGATATTTTATATTAGGTTCCATGAACCCAGGAACTCTGGAAGATTGATATAGGTCTTCCCATTTAACAGCAGAGTGATTTAGGGTACTTGTTCAAAGTCTGAGTCACAGCCAAGATTCTAAGCTAGATCTGTCTTCACAACCCAGTATTGTTTTTTATCCGAAGATGCATAGTTTCTGTTAAAACACCTTGTACATAATCAAACACTAAGTGTAAATAATAGTTATAAAATCTGTAATTAATGTATATATTTATATTATTAGTAATACAATAACTTGGAAGCTTAAGATTTTGCATTTTTCCAAGTAAGATACTAGTGTTTGTTTTAATAGCCAGATTAAGTTCAGCAGAGTTTCTGCTTCAGTCATTGTCAACATGATACACATTATGTTCAGAATGTTGACATGAAAGCACTGTGAGATCCTTATATTAATTTTCTAGTGCTGTATAACAAATAACCACAAATGTGGCAGCTTAAAACCGCTCCCATTCATTAGCTCACAGATTTGTAGATCACAATGCTGGAAACAGTGGGGCTGGGTTCTAAAAGAAAGGCATCCAGGCTGTATTCTCATATGGGACCTGTTCCAAGCTCACATGATTGTACAGAATTTAGTTCCTGGTGACTGCAGGACTGAGGTCCCTGTTTCTATGCTGGATGTCTGGTAAGATTTTTTCTCAGATCCTACAGGTTGTCCCATTCCTTGTCATACAGCTGCTTCCAACTTCAAGCCAGCAAAGGAACACCATCCTCTCATTGAACCCCTATGACATGTTCGATTTCTTATGCCAGGAAGAGCACAGATCCCTTTCAAGGCTCACTTGACTAGGTCAGCCCTCTCCCAGGACAATCTCATTATCTAAAAGTCAACTGATTGAGGACCTTAATCACACCAAGAAAAATCTCTTTGGTCACGTGACACACCAATCCTGGGAATGAAACCCATCTTATTCACAGGCTCACCTGTACTACAAAGGAAAGAAATAATAAAAGGCTGATTGCAGGGATCATGAGTTTGATTAAATAACTGAAGCTATAGCTAATTCAATGCCTCAAAAACTCATCACAATCTTAAAACATCAAGTTAAAATTTGGTTTGAATCTGTGTAAACTGATGTTCTCTGGGTCTGTGAAGGTTTACCATGTGCAGACATATGTACCTCAGTTGCAGGTTTGGTTCTAGACCACCACAACAAAATGAGTAATGCATAAAGGAAGCTATAATCTTTTTGATGGTGAAGGGTTTGTCCTTCAATTAATAAAAAATACAACATCAATGAAGCATAATAAGCAAAGCATAATAAAATGAGGTGTGCCTGTATATATTGAAGGAAAGGCCCACTAAATTGATTGGAGAGGTTTATCCATATATTTTTTGGTTATCCCATTTTGACACAGGGGTAAGAGAAATGAAATGGTGGGTATTTATAATGCTTGGGTTTGGCAACAAAATTTAAACAATCTCTGAATAACCTTTCCTTGCCTTTTCACTGAAGGAGATTATCTTGGCGGCACTGCAAGCGAGACCCTGGGTGCCCAATAAGATTCTGTAGACAACAGGAAGCAAAGGAGGGTTCACCCTGCTTGGGGTCTTGATCATCCTTTCTGTCCTCTATGATTCAGGTCCTAGCCTGAAGTGCTACTCCTGTATCAATCCAGTTGATTCGTGCACGGTCAAGAGCTGTACAGTTCATTTTGATTCATGTCTCTACATCAAAGCCAAGACCAAAACATACTACAAGTGTTGGAAGTTTGAAAACTGCAACTACAACTACCTCTCAAAGGACTTAAGAGAGGAGACTCTACAGTACGAATGCTGCAAGAAGGACCTGTGTAACAAAGTTAAAAGAAGCCGCAGTGGGAAGAGCATAACAGGGACCATCGCTCTGCTGGTGACTCCGCTGCTTATAGCATTCTGGAGACTTCTTATCTAAATCAATACCAGAGAGATTCTCCTAACTAGCCCTGCTTCTGTGTATTCCTTATTTCCTTTGCTGCCACAAAAGCTTTCAATTTTCTTACTGGATCCTTTTGAGAAAGTCCAAAACTAGCTTGGATGAGAGAGAGAGAGAGAGAGAGAGAGAGAGAGAGAGAGAGAGAGAGAGAGAGAGAGAGAGAACCAGTCCTATTTGCAGAGAAGGCCCCTCTGAGGGAAGAAGTTTAAGAGTGAAGCACATGCCATGTTAACTAGGTTAGTTCCATGCTGCTTCCTCTGCTGGTTCAGTAATAGCTTCACTAGATTCTCTGCAATTCATAGTTATTTCCCCATTTGTTCTTTGGATATAGTTACCAGTATGATTAGTGCTTTTGGGGGGAGGGGTTGGAGCAGAGGGGTCCTTTTCCCCAATCTCTCTCACAGGGGATGCTTCCACCCCCTACTTTTATGGCCCCTGTGTTGCCATAGAGGCATGATGAATGTTCCAGATGTGGGCTGTCAGGGACAATGGGATTCTAAATGCAGAGTGATTGGAATGAGTGTTATATTCTCAACTAGATGCCTGGTGCATGAAATTCAGACAGTCGGACATCTCTCTCACATCCCAGGACTGTTGGCTCCCAACTGCACGCCTGCCTGCTTTCCTGATTGCCCCTAACCACTTCTGCCTGCCAGCCTGATCACCCTCTAACCACTCCCATGCCAGCTTGATTGATGTCTAACTGCTCCCCTGATAGCCCGTTTACCCACAACTTTCCACCTCTGCCAGCCTGGTCACCCCTAACCACCCGCCCCTGCAGGGTTGATAACCTTCAACTGCTCTCCCTTGTAGGCCTGGTCTTTCCCAACTGCACTCCATGATGGCCATCTTGTGTCCACATAGGGGCAGGATCTTTGACCACATGGGGACAGCCATATTGTGTGTTGGAGTGATGGACAATCTGCATATTACTCTTTTATTAGATAGGATAGAGGCCTGGTGCATGGGTGGGGACCAGCTGGTTTACCCTAAAGGATGTTCCAGATCAGGATGGGGCTTCCCTTGAGGCCTGGGTTGGCCTAAGCGAGGGGCTTGTGTTGGTTTGCAGATTGCCTACACCCCCCAGAGACCAAGGAGGCCTTAGTATTTGGGATATATTTACTTTCTAGAATTGAAACTTTGTAGCCTGGAGAGGAGCCAAGCCTTCTGCTCGCCCCTTGGTGGCAGCTGTTTCTGTTTGGACTTGTTTACATTCTATAATTGAAACTTAGTAGCTTTGAGTGGAGGCATAGGCTGGGAAGGGCAGGCAGAAAGCTTGGTTGCCTCCGTTGCCAGGGAAATGTCTCCATCCTGCTCTCTGAGACTATAACCATCTTGGTTGGGTTTATTTGCATACTCATTCTGATTGGCTTGTGGGCATGGACTGTGGGTGTGGCTTGTGGAGCAGAGTGATTGTTAATTTGCATATTACTCTATTTTTAGGTAGGACTAGAGATGTCTGGAAGTGTAGGAGGTAAGCTTTCTGGGTGGCAGGGCATAGAGGCACCAGGTCTGCGTTTAGAGAGGTACCCATGGCTGCAATCTAAATTTTCTCCTTTTCCTAAATTTTGTATGGGCTTTGCTGTCTTTCCCTAAAAACAACTTAAGCACATCAATTAATGGTGTATTAAAACTCTTCCCCTCCCCTTTTCATTGGAGTGATGACATATTTTCACTTTGTCCCACAGTTCAAGACTAAATAGTTGCACATTCTTTGCTACAAGTGATTTACAGTATTATGCTTATTTTGGGTATTATCAGTGGGAATACCCTTATGTGCATGTGGATTGAAAGAATGCAATGGGAAGATTCTTCATGAACTACAATAGGTCCACAAGGATGTTCTATCTTCTGACATCAAACCTGTTGACTCCTAGATGACTTGGCACAGATCATATAATGTTCATTTGTAAAGGCTGTTAACATCCTCACAAATGTCAGAACTTTGAGAATCTCTACCAGTTTTCTAAAGAGACAGACCCCTTTTCAGGAGAGCAAAATTTTGCCTTTTGTGTGCGTGTGTGTGTGTGTGTGTGTGTGCACGTGTGAGTGTGAGCTGGTGAATAATCCTCAAGATCTGGTAGACTTCATAACATTTACATTCTTACTAGAAGCTTGGTGCATGAAAATCCATGCATTTGGAGGCGGGGGTGGGGGGGTGTCCCTCAGCCCAGCCTGCGCCCTTTCTCAGTACAGGACCGCTTGAGGAATGTCTACTTGACACTTTAGGCCTGCTTCCTGGGAGGTTGGACCTAAGCTGGCATTCAGACATCCCTCTGGCAGCCCAGGAGCCCTCAGGAAATGTCCAACTGACAGCTTAGACCTCCCCAGAGTAAGCGGGCCTTAGCTGCAGTTGGAGATTCGTAGTGCTGCTGAGGAGGCAGGAGAGGCTCCTACCACCACCACTGCTATGCTCCCAACCTTCGGCACAGCTTGTGGTGAGCGGAGCTCCTCTGTGGGAACACACTGACCACCAGGAGACAGCTCCTGCGTTGAGCATCTGCTCCCTGGTGATCAGTGTGCATCATAGGGACAAGTAGTCCTGCTGTTAGGGCCCATTTGCATATTACCTTTTTATGATAAAGGACAACCTTATCTGCTTTTAACAGCATGACCTGACTTGCCAATGAAAGTGAGATTTCTTGATTAACATTATTTTTTAAAATGCCTTGATTATGTAATCTGTGTGAGAGGGCAGAATGAATGTTGTCATTTTGACAATAAAATATAATATAAAAACTGAGTTTATCTTCCTGGGAGCCACTCTACCAGACCAGGAATTGGGAGAGAGTAATGGGCACAGTTGTCAGCAATTGTGTGAGTGAAATGACAGCATGGAGTCCCTTGGTTTATTTTTCTTAATCCTGAGGTGGAATACTATCTCATATTGTACTTAGTCCTTTCTAAGCTTCATTATTTTTTTAGTGCCATTTAAATTTATTGCTCAAGGGGATCTTAGAGAACTATCTTGCTTTATTTTGCCATTGGTGAACAAGTGCAAAAGTCACTGACTGTACTACCATCAATAGCTTAATGGGAATATAAGTGGTTTCATAGAAAAAAGCTTGGGTTTCTCACCATAATGCCATCAGTTTTATGAACATCAGAGTCAATAATCTCACCTTAACAAATAAGAGACATGTAACACATTCATACGAATTATAACAGAGATTTTTAGCAGTAATTTTAAACTGAGAGAATCATGGGCAGCACGTCCATTCCCCCCACCCCCAAAACAAACAAACAAACAAAAAAACCAAAAACCAAAAACAAACAAACAAAAAACCACAAACACACAAACATACACATATCCATACCATGGGGGATATATTAAAATCTTGGGATTGGATCTGAGACTAAGGAGTGTGTGAAGTTTGAATAAACCACTGGAGATTCTGATAGGTTTTATTTAAGAATCACTTATACCATATTTTGTGTTCTGTAATCCCACTCTCTTCTGTCATTGAGCATCTCTCACACTTATTCTGCACAGAGGCTTGGAGTCATCTAGCTACTTTGCCATCTAATTCAGAGATTGCTTCTATCACTCCAGGTTATTGGTCATTAAAACTTTTTACCTACATGCTTGGCAAGATGAGACTGTTACTTCCTACAGGTCTCTTATCAGGCTGTTCCAGTTCTGTAGGTCAAAATAAAGTTTGCAACCCTATAAGTTTTCACTTACTAAGAGGGCTAAATTAATTATTTACCAATCTTATTCTTGTCCCAACATAAAAAAAATATCCGAAGTTTCCCCAAAATTGGGTTATCACCCAAGTGGCCTCTTATTCACCTGATTTAAGAGTACACTATTTTCTCTTTTTGGTAATCCTCACCACATTTTATATTTTCCACTGATTTTTTTTTATTTATTTTTTTTTTTTTAGAGAAAATAGAAGGTGGAATGGTGGAAGGGAGAGATAGACAAAGGGAGAGAAAAAGAAAGAGGCAGGGAGATATAAAATATAAATAATTTATAAAATATAAAATATAAAATAATTCTCATTTTATTTTTTATGTATTAGTAACTCTGGCATCAGTGATTATTGTATTAATACCTTTCTATCTATAATATGTTAATTATTTGTGTTCCTTTATTTCTTCTGTTCAAAACCTTTCCTTCCCTTCACTGTTCTATCAGAAGGCAGTAAGCAAAAGAGAAAAACCCCAAATCAGATTATTTTATTACTTATAGAGTTTAAATTAAGTGTTTATAGAAGATGAAGTTGTGGTCAACAGTGACATTTTTTAACTACCCTGATTTATTAATTATAGTGCAAGAGTTATTTAAGTTATGGATTATTCAGGTGAATTTACTTGAATTTAATTAACAGCACTAATTCTATTTAAATGGTTTCAGCTTTATGTTTCTGTATAATATAACAAAGAATCCAGTGCAATTAGTCCTTCCTGTATTTTGTAGGAAATCCATTTTCTAAGCTTCTGTTATGAAATTGTCCAATAAGCAAGCTAGGGAGATGGTAAGGTGATCTGAGCTTTTGAAGAACAGTGAGAAAAGACTCAGGATATAGGCAATTAGTAATGCTGAAATGAACTAATGAATATATGCAATTGATCAACATCCTTAGGGAAATAAAATGTAATTATTCAACCCTCTCTTCCACCAGGGTGAAATCCATTGCAGAACAAAGTTTATTTCTCTCTCTATTGACAGAATTGATTTGTATTACTGTCTGAGTTCTACAGCTTATACAACACAGTGAAAGGCACAGACCCCTACAAAACCAGTTGTTTCCAAAGGATTTGTCAGACAATGCCCAGATCCCCACTGAAAGAACACCAGCTAATCCGTTTATCCATTTCGAAACTGTGTACCATATTTTCTGACACTTTTCCTTCTTTTCTAATTCAAACATCACTACCACTTTCTCTCCTATTGTACACTATAGCCCCCCTCAATACATCTTTCTGAGGGAAAATAATTCAGAAGCCCAAGATTTTGAAAAATGCAACCAGAATTTTAGGTTTTGCCTGGGGCTTCCTACTTTTGGGATGGCTAGAAGCTTAGAGAACTCAGAAGAAATGAGCTTGTGAACCACAAGCTTGGTTCAGACTGCAAATTCCCAGAAGCATAACAATGTGCACCTCCCAATCAGAGAAAGTTTAAATCATTGCATGAAAATGCTCTTTTGTCCAGTTTTTTAAGTTTTGCCTGCATATGTATAGCACAGCATTGTTGAGAGGGCACCTGTCCATGTATTTGCTCCTATGATATTTACCACAACTCTGTGAAGCTGTCCTGTGTTTATTTCTGATCCTCTTACTTGCAGAGAGTAAACCAAGGCACAGAAAAATTCTGTGAATTGCTTCAGGTCACATACTGACAAGGGACAGGTAGCATTTATACTCAGCCTTTCTGAATATTGTTCAGTTCATATTTTACTATGCATTCTAGCATTCACTTCAATGGGCATTTATTGAATACTATGGTCCTAGAAGAATAAGATGTTTTGGTCCTAACTTTTATTCCCAATTTTATACAGGGAGAATCCTAAGAATAAACTCTAAAAGTTGATATTTACATTTGTTAGTGCTTTGTTGTTTCAGGGAAAATTTAACTAACTACTTATATAAAAGAGTCCAATGGTTGAAAAATATAGATGAGAATTACAACTTCTCCACAATATTGCACATTTTAGGTGAAAAATGAGTATTTTTAATTATTTATTTTTGTAAGACAACTGGTAGTTTATCATACTGAGAAGTTTTTAATAGGATATATCTACTTAGTAGCAATATCTGTTCTTGATTTCACTGGTAGCTTTATTTGAGTGGTTTATGGTTTTTAGGAGGAAGAAATACCTGAAATGTGAATTTGGAAATTGTTGTTCTATAGTTTCAGTGAAATATGGGAGTGAGAAAATGCCTTTCAATTGTTTATATCTCTTTTCTTACTATTTGCATACCAAATGCCAATTGCCATCTGTAGTTTGCAATGGGATATAGGCAGAGAATGTTTTGTGTTTTTTTTTTTTTTGTTTGTTTGTTTTTGTACTTAGCATTCTAAGACTTTCCATCTTAGAGGAAATATGTGATTTGATTTCTCCAATTTAATTTTTAAATTAAAGTACAGTATATCTCATGACATTGCTTGAAAATGCAAACTAAAGATAGAAATAAACTTCATATGGGTTAATCAAGTTCTGTTTGGAAGCAGTACATAGAAGTTAAGGCTGAATATAATATTTGATTTGACTTTCTGTTAAAAAATTATCCATTGCCAAAACCAGTTTGGCTCAGTGGATAGAGCATTGGCTTGCACAATGAAAGGTCCCAGGTTTGATTCCGGTCAAAGGCATGTACCTTGATTGCCAGCATATCCCCAGTGGGGAGTGTGCAAGAGGCAGCTGATTGATGATTCTGTCATCGATGTTTCCAACTCTCTATCCCTCTCTGTGAAAATTCAATAAAATATATAACAAATAAATTTTAAAAATAAACAATAAATTAAAAATTATCCATGGTAAGAACAAAAGTTTTCTACATACATCAGTAAGTACCAATGATGACTTCAAAGCTTCTGAAGCCAAATATACAACTGCATGATCCAACACAGTTTGCTGAATTCATTTTGAACATTTTTGGTAATGTATACTGTGTATTACTGAGAAGGAATAAGGAATCATTACAATGGTATCTACCATTTGTGCATACTAATATAAAAGTAACTTGTTTCGCTTTTCACCTAGCCTGCCTTCTCTCTGTACCTGCATTGCTTACTTGAGGGGACAATTGAAGCATTGCTCTTTTATCTTAAGGATTTGTAACATCTCTAAGACCTTATCCTATTGAATTCTATCATGAAATGAAGCTATTTTTTTCTTTTCCAGTTAAACCTCAGCTATTATTTACTACAATCAAATCTGTAGAATACGACAATGACAATGAAACTGTTCTCATCCCATGCTTATTCACTAACTCGGAGGCAAAGAGCCTGAAAGAAATGTTTGTAAAGTGGAAGCTCAGCGACATATATATTTTCCACTATGATGGAGAGAAAAACGAATCCACCCACCAGTGAATTTTCAAGTGCACACATAGTACCAGATGCCCTATTAACAGGCAGCGCCTCTTTGGTGATGGACAAGAGCCAAGCTGTGCCAGGAATATATACTTGTGAAGTATCAGAATCAACTAAAGAAGGCAAAACCACCATAGAGCTAAAATATGGTAAGAATTTCATAATCTTCCTTTTTATTTGTCCTGCAGTAGCCTAATCCTATTAGAAACTGGGCACAATGGTGCTAGGGACTCCTTTGAATCAAAAAGCAATATATGACTAATAAATTATTATGTAATGTTTTGCAGCTTTAAGATCATGATATTTACTTGCTCTTCTACTTTTCATAAATTAAATTCCTTTGCTGTGTTATTTGTGTACTGTCATGTTCTCAAACTTTTGTTCTGAGAAATGTTCTGCTGGTGTAGATGTCCAGGCATCGTTTAATCTGCATTTTGGTTTGCTGCTATCAAAATACTATCATGTGATTAATTTTCCATGATCTTTCCAATGATGTAGCTTTTTTTATTACCTGCACTTTGGTCAAGGGCTGACAAATCCCCGCCATGCTCCCGTTAGAAAGGATACATCAGTAGGAGAATCATGAACTCAAGAATCATGTCATGATGTTGTTTCCTTGAGGTTTCCTGCTATGATGTTTGTTCTTTTTATCAGTTAACATAAGGGAGAGCTAAGGATCCAATGCAATTAA